GACAAATCTGTTCTCTAAACATAAGTTAATAAATAGAGTACTTAAAATGCTTAGAAAAAAGTAAGAAAAAGCGACCAAAATACCGTCACAACAAGCAAACATGATTTTGGCTTGAAAGTTCAAAGGAACTACTGAGAGGAACTCATATTTAAGTACAGTATGATAGGACTGTCGCCTAAATCCCACTTGCACTGCCTCAGCGATGTACAGTTGAGTATTTAGGCATTAGTAGGTTTAACTATGCCGTAAAAGCTTAAAAAATACACCCATTTAAGTGAAATATGCAACACTAACCAACCCCTCTGGTCAGTATGGTCAGTTATGGCCACATCCTGCAAGTTAAAATCCTAACTGAAAACCACGGCCCTCACTGCCCGGAGAATGCACTGCCACAGGCGCAGGCAGTCGCTAGTCTGGCACGAAGACCGATGGTACTAAGAATACCCAGCAGCGGATCAGAGCTATTACGGTTTATTAACGCTGGCAATGTACAACTGCAGGGCTTCAAGAGACGAAAGAAAAACACAGGAAATCAAGTGAAGCTAGACTCACGTAAGACTCCTCCACGTAAGGAGGAGGGGCTGTTAGAACTTAAATGTGAGCATCTCCTGTTCTACAGAAGATCAACAAATAAATGTTCAGGGGGAGTAGAGCGCATTATACATTTAAGATTAAGAAACAATGCAGTATATGTCAACAGCACTTCGAAGAGGGGTGCAAGCCTTGCCCTGGGAGTGACAAAGAGATATAAACTGTAACTGATCGAAGAATATGCGCCAACAACAAGCCATCCTGATGAAGAGATTCAAGATTTTTTACGAAGCAATAAGGGAACTGCATGAACATTGAAAGAGCCATTACAAGTTCATCATTGCTGATTTCAATGCGTAAGTCGGACTGCAACAAAGCAATAAATGCTCTGTGGGCGATTTGGTTCTGGCAAAATGAATGAAAGGGATGAGCAACTAATGCAGTTATGGATATGGAAAGGTCTAAACACCATCAAGAATGAAATCGATCTCTTCCTCGGTAGCATGAAGATACAAGACGTGGCTGCGTTGAACAGGTTCAATGCGGGAAGAGACAACAGGCTGGTCAGATGGACGGTGCGCCTAGATTCAGCTTCAAATCAAGGAAATTGATGAGGAAAAGACGTAAGATATTCTATGTGGAAACACTAAAGAAGAATCTCCTACTATTGCAACTCAAACTAAATTGAAGAACGTAACCGATTCGACGTCCTTCACGGAATGCAGGAAGAACAAACAGGACGAGCGGTGAACAGTAACACAATGTATCAGAATAACGATGGCAATTACGGAAATATCGGAAAAAGTCACCAGAACAAGGGTTATGAATGTCGACCAAAAAACCACAAAAGCATGCAATAAAACAGTCAAAACTAAGCAGAGTTTTTGACGAAACTAGCGTCATGATGAAACCTGTAAAATCAGGAGATGTAACGCTCACAAAGACGTTGGCGCGTTTGGTTTCATGCTTTCTGAAGGAACTGAAAATTCCAGACGGTTCTACACCACAAACAGAAAAACAGATAGTATTTTAAAAACCCTAGGCAGATTAGTTTGCTACAAATCATCTACAAGACATTCGCAAAGGTACGGAATAACCCTCAAGAAAATCGGGATGCTGAGCAGTCAAAGGAAAAAACATCATTGAGAGGTGGAGTCTACATCCGTCCTGTAATGGATTCTTTGAAAAGCCAGGGAATCGAGAAAAGATACAGAGATCTCATCGCTTTGACTGACAAGAATGCGACTGTTAGTGGTAGCTTCACGAAAGGACAAGTTAAAAATCGAACAGAGGGTTGTACAGAGACGCCATATTACCGTGGTTATTCACTGCAGCCCTAAAAGAGGCTTAAAGACACTCCATTTAAAAAATCAGGGGCTGAACATAAATGGGCAGTGCTTAAGCCAACAGCGATATGCGAAGAATATTCCAGTCCTCTTGTGGTCGTCAGGAGAAGTCCAACGTAGGACTGAAAATGAACTGAAAAGGCCCAAGTAACAATTAACAAATAGGTGATTGCTCGACCTGCTTATGTGAATGGACTTAAACTTAAAAAAGTACCAAACTATGCCTACCCTGGACAGCACATCTTTGCAACTGTTGAACAGACTGAACAACTGAAAATCGACAGAAGAATGAAAATAGCATGGAGCACTTTTGAATGACTAAACATGTTTCTATTCGTAAAACTACTCTTGTGCTTAAAACGGAACGTTATCGATCACCGCATGCTCCCAGTGCTAACCTATCTGTGTGAAATGTGAACTCTAACATGGAAGCCTATTCACAAATTGGAGACTACATAACGCTGCGTGGAAAGATGCACTTTAGGAAATTTTGGGAATAACAAGAAAAGATAGGAATACGAATGAACGATAAAACCACAAACATGAGTTTCTGACGTAACTGCCCATGTGAAGAAGTTCAAATGGCAATGGGCAAGATACTTTGCAAGAAGAGCCAACCCTCGCTGAACCAGAGAGACAATAGACTGCGTTGCAAGAGAGAATAAACGGCCAGTAGTAAAACGTGCAGATCGATGGTAGGACGAACTGAAGAAATTCGCTGGATGAAGATGGATAAAAATGGCAGAAGACAGACGTCTACGGCAAAGTCCAAGAGAATTCTTTATCCAGCGATGGATCGACAAGGACTGATAATGATAATAGGATTATCGACAGTTCCATCGATAAAGCAGTTCACGTTATTCACAGAGGCCGAGAAAACGACCTTTTAATCCAGATGCGGCTACGAAGTATGTGAAAAATCACGATGTATAGATGAACAAGTGATGTCACCTCTATCGATGCCCTGTAGGTATTCAAATACCACAGAATCGTGCTGCACACTAATTACCCTATGCCACTAGGAGCAAGGGAACGGTACGCCATAGCACCGTGTACGACGGCAGAACTATCGTGATACACAGATACTGCATGAGATATAAAGTGAAAGGATTCAGGCGGACCCTGGCCAGGGAGCGAGGTTTAGAGGTAGGCCAGTGATCGGTATCAGCGCGCGGTCATGTCGTTGCGAGTCTGAATCTGCATAGGTGGCAGATGTTCTTAATTTGACGTACTCGATTTATTCCATGTTACAAATCAATGAAAAACTCTTGCAGAACAAAATAGGAAGCATCTGCCGAACTTCAAAGGTTTAAATTTCATTTCATCATTCCGCTGTGATGATGGCATGAGGTTATTAAGTCAATACATAGTTCTCTGTTAACGAGCGTGTACTTAAATAATTGGTAGAAGTTAACACATGCACGGTTATAAGCCTGGAATAAATCACCTTAATACGAGAAGCTTTCGGAACCCAGAATGGCATTCCTTCTTCAACACAAATTATAATATACATCGAAAAAATGGTAGGCATCAGATCAGCAAGTTTACACTGAAAGCACTGTAACTAAGACAAATATGAAAATAACAAAAGCAAACGCAAAATGAGGTGAAAGCAACAGAAAAAAATGAAAATGAAAAACAGAGATTAAATAGTAGAAATAAAACTATTTAGGATGAGATTCCAATTGGAGAACAGATCTTTTAAGCCCAGTTCATCATTAACACACGCTGCACCAAAAGCCTTAATGTAGGAAGAATCTCTCATCATAAGACTAGCTGTAGCGTTGTTCCGTCGCACACTTTCACATCCGTGGAACGAATATGATGTAATTTTTTAATGGCGTGATTTACAATAGAAGAATGTGCTCTTACTGACGGATTTTAACCAGTCTTTTTGTTATCCTGATACAAATTTTTTCATAACTTTTAAAATCCAATTGGCAAATGCCCAACTTTTAACCAGACCCTCTGTTACAAAATGCTCTACAAGTAAGATGTTGCGCAGAGTGATGCCTTTCTTAGAGATGACTTTAAATTGAACCTTACTTAGATAACGACAGACGGGCGGAAACAGATTCAGGCTGAAAGGCAAGGATAAGATATTACGATCATGTTTCGATGGGAGCTGAAGATTAATACTTGGATGAAAGAGATTATGAGAGAGATACATGCTGTCATAGCCATTATTTTGAAATACTAATGATAGATTTTGGATTTTTGCTCTACATATCGACGGACTACTGCAATATGATTCGCCCTTCTATGCAAGTTGATGACAATATTTTTGAAATATGAATGGGGAACTGCGGAGCGTGGACGTAAGAAGCGGGCAGAGTTCTATTTCTTGCGCAAAACGAAAAGCCACAGAGAATTAATGACAACGTCTTTTTTATTTTGATACATAAACAAGCACAATGGTACTATTACGTTGTTCTTCAGCTGCAAATTCAATCTTCTTCTCGTGTTGAAAGCCATTAAGAAAATTAAGAAGAGCAGATAAAGACTGCTTTGCTTTAAGAAGTAAAAAAAATATCATCACTGTACCTGTAACAGAAAGAAGGTTTTACATCAGTAAGGGCAAACATTTAAAGCGGTTGATTTAAAGTTATTCATGAACATTTTCGCTATGATAACGCTGATAAAAGATCACAGAGCAACTCTGTAGGAGTGACGATAGAAGGTGTTGAGACTTAACGCGAAACGAACACCAAGGATAACGCGTACTTTTCTTTCACGTCTAGCGCGTCACTCGTCGTTTCGTCCGGCAGTTCTTCCCTCTGCTGACTGGCGACCTTCAGGATCTTGCTGCTTAAGTCTTCGTCGATGTACTGAAAGAATTCGTGCGACAATGCGTTCAGCAATGAAGTATCATCAAACCTGATTGCCTCGCGACGTTTTCTTCCTCGACAGCTTCTTTCGTCTTGGCGCTTGATTGCCTTCTTCGTCAGTTACATTTGATGTCAGAGGCAAGGGACGATTTATGTGATCTCCACGCTTGAGATGCTTCCGTTTCTTGGGAGGCATTAAAGGTCAATATCTAAAATGCAAAAACTCGAACAATGACGGTGGTCCTTTACCAGATTTCACGAACTGTCACATCGCGCAAAAATGAAAACAAAGATAACTCTTTACCCTTACAAAGTATCTGTGAAACTTCAAAACTGTGTTACGAATGATAAATTATTCCTTTTAAACAATTTTATATCAAAACACGTTTCGAGTTTCGAGCAATCAATGGCCTACAGTATGTTAAACAGATGCCATGTCAGAGCCCGTCGGCGAACAACTGTGATCAGCGGACCTTTAGCACCGTAGGTACATGCATGACATTTTCATTGGACGTGTTCACTCATGCACCCATGAGCGCAATTTTTTCAAACTTTTCAAAAGTACGTGTAACCTTCAAGACTGAAGCAGAAAGCAGGAGTCTCGTTTTATCGATATTTTAATTAGCAGAAAATTTTCTTCTAATAGAAAGCCATAAGATTGTAGTAGGCAGATGTACTGCTACTTCAAAAGATCCAGAGTTAATTTGTGATGTATAATGAACAACAAGACTTCGAGCTTAAAGACACTGCATACAATTCCTCTGGCCACCCTTAATATGGAGTTCAACTTTTTAAGAAGGATGTTCCTCGAAATGCACAGTCACTTTCTGACATTAGCCTTCATAGACTAGGGTTGCATAGTCTGCAGAGCATCGTGCTCAGAACCGAGAGGTCCCGAGTTCGAACCCCGATCGAGTAACTCGCCTTTCTTCCTTCTGATGCTGATAAATGAGAAACCCTCTGTGGGGAAGAAACAACAGCCTACGCATTAAGCTCACCATATAATTATAATCTGCCTTTAAAATAAGGCACCTCTAGCTGATGGAACAGAAACGGAGATCAGCGCTGCACCATAAACTTCATGAAATATATGGCGTCACAGATGATACCGAATCGTGAAAATTTAAGCAAAACTGATGTAGCAACGGTTACAAACCTTTATTTTCCCTTCTTTCAAGCCATCCTCATTCTGAATATAGCCCCACAAAAAGAAAAAATAAAAAAATGCGCTATTTTCATCCCCTTTAACCCTAGTAGCTTTCTGCCCTTTATGTAATGTTCAAAACCAGTTTCCAAATTTTTCATAAGACCAGCTGCTGTTAGACTTACTTTACGCCTCGTTTGGCTCTGGCAAGTGCAATGTTAGTCATCAGGTTAACTGCAAAAGGTGCCATCTGATTTACGCTGGAAAAAAATGCAGATCTTGAATGTTAGAATAATTAAAGGGTAATTACTATAAAACTAAAGTTCACCGTAAACTTCCTAACAATGATAAATTTCCAATATACAATCATTTAAATAACAAAAAAATCTGAAATTATAGCTTCAACAGACAAAGCTCCCAAGCTCTGTAGTGACGAATTTCTTAAAGAAGAAATAAAACAATAAAGCGAGCTTATGTAATAAAATAGTTATCCTGTAAAGTTCGTTAATAATATTAGAAATCGTAGAATAAGTTACTTTTGATCAACTTGTAACATCAATAAACTCAATAATACTCTAAATAATCAGTCTTCTATAATTTTAGGTTATCATTAAAAATAATGAACAGTTACAAAGTTTA